TTTCTCTTTCTGACTTACTTCACTCTGTATGACAGACTCTAGGTCCATCCACCTCACTACTTTTTATGGCTGAGTAATATTCCATTGTATATATGTGCCACACCTTCTTTATCCATTCATCCGATGATAGACATTTAGGTTGTTTCCATCTCCTGGTTATTGTAAATAGAGCTGCAATGAACATTTTGGTACATGATTCTTTTTGAATTTTGGTTTTCTCAGGGTATATGGCCAGTAGTGAGATTGCTGGGTCGTATGGTAGTTCTATTTTTAGTTTTTTAAGGAACCTCCATACTGTTCTCCATAGTGGCTGTATCAATTTACATTCCACCAACCCTCAGAATGGGAGAAAATATTTGCAAATGAAGCAACTGACAAAGGATTAATCTCCAAGATTTACAAGCAGCTCATGCAGCTCAATATCAAAGAAACAAACAACCCAATCCAAAAATGGGCAGAAGACCTAAATAGACATTTCTCCAAAGAAGATATACAGATTGCCAACAAACACATGAAAGAATGCTCAACATCATTACATCATTAATCATTATAGAAATGCAAATCAAAACTACAATGAGATATCATCTCACACCGGTCAGAATGGCCATTATCAAAAATTCTAGAAACAATAAATGCTGGAGAGGGTGTGGAGAAAAGTGAACACTCTTGCACTGTTGGTGGGAATGTAAATTGATACAGCCACAAGGTCTTTCTTTTACTGGTGAGAAATCCAAGGATCAGAGAGTGAGTGTAACTTTCTCAAGGTTGTAGTAAGGAAGTGGAGATGTTGAATCTTGATTCCCTCATCCATTCTATGTGTTATTTCCACAGCAAAGAGTCTACACCAAAAGACAAATTGTTATGAACAAAGGCAATTATTAAATAATCCCATTATCAAGAAATTTCACCTGGTTCTGCTTTGCTGTCCCTAGATTACTGATAACTTTAAATTAGCACTCACTTTTATCCTCAATTTTATATCATGAGCAGTACTTATGCATCACTGTGTTAGCTGTCTTTTTACCCACCATTTCTGGGAACTTATGGTCTCTCAGCTAAGGATACTGAAGTTCTGGAAATATTTTAAAATAGAGTTGATTTTTACTTTGTCAAGACTAGATATCTTGAACACTAAAACTTAGTTAGAAATACATTAAAAGGTAAAGGAATCCTATGTTAATCAGTTGGCTGCCTTTCCCCAAAAAGTTAGGACTCTAGATCAGAGGTAGAAATTCATATATGGCCACTAACTCATTACATATGATGTTTTGTATTTTTGTTTCTAGCCCCACCACATATAACCCAGAGATAAAGCCACCCAAAAAAGTCACCTGGCCAATGAAATTTGGATCTTCAGACTGGGCTCATGTTCCATGTCTACAGAAAAGAACACTGAGAGCAGAGGTAATAGGATTGGACTTCTATGGAGCCCTTTACCTAGCACTTCCATGTATATCAGTGATTCTTAACCAGGAGTCTGTGAATAAGCTTCAAGAAATCATTGTTCCCCTGAAATTACTTGCACAGTTTTGTGTGTATATGAATATGGGGATCTTTTTAGAGAGTTACACAATTTCACTTGATTTTTAAATGTGCGTGTGAGCAAACAAGTCACATTTTCTTATTTAGTTCTCAAATAATCTATAGTAGTCTGAGACACGTATCCCTCTATGACTGAGGAGAAAACTGAGGCTCAGATGAATTAAGTGGCTTGTAGAAGTTGCTCAACTAGAGTCTAGATCTTGTGAGTCCTAAGCCAGTGTTCTTTCCATCACACAACTTGTGTATCAGTTCATCAGGGGGCTGTGGATCATTCTGGCAAGAACATGGATTTCAGGGACAGACTGCCTGGATTCAAATACTAGTTCCATATTTGCTTGCTGTGTGATCCTGTGCAAGTCCTCTAACTATTCTAAGCATCAGTTTGCTTATCTTTAAAATGGTTATAATAATAGACTCAATCTGATAAAGTAGTAAAGATTGAGATATTGTAGAAAAGCATTTAGCACAGTACCTGTAACATAATAAATGCTCTCAATCCATGTCAGCTATCATAATTCAGGAGGTGCCTTTTTTCCCCTAGTGGAACTTTGGATTAATTCTACAAATATTTATTAAACGCCAAACGTATTAACATCATTGTGCCTATGGGTAACATTCAAGTATTAAACACATAATATTCATTTTCAAGAAGTTTACCAGCTATACTTGACAATCTAACAAGTAGAAAATAATTCCTAGAATGATATATTCCAGAGTAAGATGACAAAGAGTACATGTACAAAGCAATGTTGAGAGACCCACTAAGGCTAGGTTATTATGCAGTTGGGGTTCAGCTAGGCCACAACAGCTATAACATACAGTTCTGTTTTGCACAGCCAGGAAGACCAGAGGCAGAGGGTTCTCATTCTAATATTAACCTAGACAGCATTCTTCCATTGCAGCTGCCCACAGACAAAGACTTTAGAAAGCATCGGAACCGTGTGGCCTACCTAAGCCTGTATTACAACTGAAAAGCTGTGACTACCTTCACGTGTTCCTCCTGACCACAGACTCTCCAGGACTGAGGACAGAGCTGCTCTTGTCCTTCTGCATTGCTCTGGCCTGCCTGTCTGCCAGCATGGGGCACAGGGAGGGGCAAGGGGCTCATAACTACTATATGACAGCATAAAGACTAGTTCAGAGGTCTCTCTCTCCATGTGCTGGTTTGTTGTGTATACATGTAGATGGGTCAGGGGGGTTTCTACTGAGTGTTCAGTGGGGTGGCTTCACTTTACTGAAATACTTGTGGGTCCCTGCCCTCTAGCTCTAATTCCCAGGCATGAGTTTTATGTTTTCTACCACTAGCCCTCGTGATAGGTGACTGTTAGTCTATACATATCAAGGATTTGGATGGCTTGCTTGGCCTTGTATTTGGGCTTGCTAGATGCAGAGGATACTTAAAGGAAGAGTTAATATTTAGGTTTTAAGAGCTCTTCCAAGTGTCTGAGTTCCCCAGCATGGATTGGGGAGGTTCTGATTTGATTGCCTTTCCCAGATTTGTGTAAAACTCACAGAATCAAAATATCCCCCCTTTCCCATTACATTATCTATTTAGTCTGTCAGTCATCATCATATTGAGTTCCTAACCATGCATCAGGCAGAGTGGCAAACACTGGGAATACAGCAAGAATCAAAATAAATTCACTTACTGGCTTCTTGAGCCTGGACTGAAGTACGAGAAGGACTCCCCAGGGAGGCTATGGATTGGATCTGTTCCCCACTCCCAGTTTGAATGATGCCCTGAAGCCTTACAAGTTACTCTAGGTGTGTTAAGGTCAGAACTCATAGCAGCCACATTCAATGTACTTATTTAGACACTGGCCTGGGAGACAGGCCTTTTCCTTCCAGCACAAACTGAAATAACTCAAGTATGGTTCCTTCAGAAAGGGCATTAAGTATAGTCTACCTTATCTTTTAATGAGAAGGTCCTCTTGTGCCTACTTAGCCTTCTTAGTAATTATCAAACCGATGGCAAGTCTTCATGTGTCCGGATACCAAAGAGTGAGATGCTGCTAGTGCCTCAAAAAGCTGTAGCCTGATGTACTCTTCAGGGTCAGCATATGATGTGTTAGCTGGTGAAAGAAGCACTAGGAGTTGAAACCTATTAGGAGTATTATGCCTAATTCCTTAGGGGCCAAGATCTTCTGAAGAAAAATGGTGAAAGACAAGTCCACTGGAAATCAAATTAGAATATTGAGATAATGCTAAATATACCTCAGTCTAAAAACTTTTACTTCATTTAATCTGATCATTTAAAGATTTCTATTATCTTGTCAAGAAGTATTTTTATGACTTGAGATAAATCAAGACTAACATTTCTCACCACTTTTGCACACCTCCCTCCCTTTTCTCCTTTGGATCCACACACATGCTGCTTTTTTCAGAGGTGGTAATTTAGCATTCATTATTTTTTCTGACTGAGGGTCTTGGGCCCCTTCTTTGGAGGATATTGACAGGGATGAAAGAACACCTTTCACACTATTTTTTGGTTCATTCTCTCAAGGCTTTTGCCGGGGAAGGCAACTCCCCTTTCTAAAATAGTAATCTGATTTGACAAAAAGTAAAAATTTTGCTATAGCTTCAGTTAACCTCCAGGGTCCCTTGAAATGCTTAATTGTATATACAAGTACTTAAGAAAAACTACAAATGAGTACAAAAAATAAAGCATACAGTGTCATTTATTTTACATATGGATTTTGTTCAAGGGGTTTACAGGTTTTTTAGATCTTAATGGAGTAAAACCTAATTATAATTCTGCTTTAGTAAGGTAGGGCTTCCAAATTGACAGATAGATTGATATAATATGTAGACTACATGGAGTACTGGAAGATTAACTTTGACATGCAGCACAAGAGAATTTGCGACAAAGTAGAATTTTTCCAACATTTTAAATTGAAGGCCAATTACAACACTTGCAGTTCTGGTGGAACACCAGACCCTGAGCACACTGGGAGTGGAAGGTCTTGCCTCCAACACACTGGTGGGACTTGGTGGTGTTTTTAGGATTGCTATAAATGCCATCTGCTTTGCCAGTGCAGAAACCTTCACCTCCTCCACTGCTCCCATCACCGTCACCTCCACAACTTCCTCCATCACCACCACCTTCTCCACCACTGCCACTGTCTCCACTGATATTGGCACAGAAACCTTCACTTCCGGTGTCCCTGGTGGGTTGTCTCCACCGATACTGGCACAGGAAACTTCATTTCCGGGTGTCACTGGTGGGTTGTACCAGGTCTTGGTGGCTGGTGGAGTGCATTCTAAAAGAATAAAAAGACCATTTCAGAGCATCATCATAAGCTGTTTTTGAACCTAGAAGCAAAAACTATAGACCTCCTCTTATATCAGTTTTGTTCTCCAAGAACTTGAGCCCTGTGAGAGTTCCCAAGCTATGGTTGGGAAGAATGTTACGAGGGGACAGATGTCCAAAGCAAGGAGGAAGGGAGAACAAGGCCCACTGGAGTCCTAGCAGGATGTCAGCCCTGGGCTTATGCTACGTTTCCACACAGGAAGAAGTGAACCCAACCCTACCGTGATTGGACCAAGGATTTTATGTGGGGGACTAATTAATACTTGTGTTTTCGTAGAGGAGGCTTATCCATATTTCTGTCATAAGTAATACATCTGCATTTTGTCATCTTGTTAGCCATAAGTATTATACTTAGATTTTTCATCTTGTTATGTTTTGTTTCTTATGCTTTATTTTTGCTTGTTTCCTTTCAACATTGCTTTTTCTCCCCTTTTTCTCCCTCTGGCAATTCAGACATTTTATATTTCATTTTACTGTATTACTAGAACCCTCTCCACCACTAGAATTTGCTGCCTCTTACTCCCTCACTCTATAATTTGAACCCATGTTTTTATAATCATCTCTTAACAAGTTTTACAATTTTAAAAAATCAATTATTCTGTCAATTTCCTGAGAGTAGAGACATACAGAACCCTTATATCTTCTACTTCTCTACCTCCATCTTTAGCCTTACCCCAGGGATGCTTAACCAAGGAACATACAAAGCCATGTGAAGAGCAGGGGTTTCTCTCCTCACACTGCTGAGTCATGGACCAATCAGCAATGTGAGGCTTTGTGCCTGCTCTTCTTCAAGACCTACCTCCAACCCTCCCCACTAGCACCCAAAGACAAAATCTGTAACTAAGGCAGGTAAGTGGCTAAGCTGGCCTGCTTATGTCTAAGTTAGGGTATGATGCACTGCACTGACAGGGGAGCTGCCTAGTTTAGAGAAAATGTCAGCACATGCATCAGACTCACTTTCAAGATATCAAATTCTTCCTCCCAGACAAAATTTTCCTGAGAAGAAAGGCCCACCTCTAGGGTATAAGGTATATTCAAATCTTTGCCCACATAGCTACTGAACTTAGACTGGCCTCTTGGTTGAAAAAAGTATTTCTAAAGAGCCTCTTCCTGTAAATCTGTCCCTTTTTCACATGATGCTCTGTGGCTACCTCCATGCACTCTTGCCCCTCTGCAGTAGCAATTCTTGCGGCTTGACCTACGTCATCTTTAGAACAATGTGGTGAACTTAGCAGTGATGCACCTGAGGACAAGCCCAGGAGTGACTTCAGCTTGATCGTGAGTGAACATTTGCCCTTATTTGCAGAAGGAGCCTGAGAAGTCATCCAGATCAATGGCCCAAATCACCGCCCCACCAAAATTGTTCTCCTTAAGAAAGTCAACCTGCAGACACAAAAAGCACTTGGTAGCCAGAATCAAATGGCATTGACACAACAAAGGATGGAGTACAGGGTGACAAGGGGATATTAGGGAGAAAAATACAAGTGGGTTGAAACCCGATGAATTTTTCTTTTATGAAAGGATATGTGCTTTGTGAATTCAAGGTAGGATTGTCTAACTCAGTTCTAATTTTGTTATCTTGAACAAGTTAATAAACTCTTGGGTATTAATATAAACAAAGCTAATATTTATTTAATACTAGTATTCCAAGCTAAGCTACATTTTAACATTCATTACTTGCTTAATCTTCACAGGAACTACTAGGTAGATCCTATTATTATTACTCTTTCAAAGGTTTCTGGGAACTCACCCAGTCTTACATCAGGACTTGAGAACCAGGTATATCTGACACCAAAGTCTAGACTGTTAACCACTGCACCATACAGCCCCTTTCCCCTCCATGTTGACCACCTTTCTCCTGGCCAGGATTCTGTAAAGATGAACTGACAGAGCAGTGCGATGGAAAGAGACAGACGTGAGCCAATGTGGTAAGTTATTGAACAGAAGGCTGGCAGCAGGCCCAGGAGCAGAGTTCAGACAGCCCACCTGAGGGAGTCCAGGAGCTGCACAGAGAAGGCATCACTCAGGCTGGAGGGCTGGGCCAAGGCCCGGATGTGACAGAGAGAAAGAGCCGCCATAGGGCCCTTGCTAGGCAGCTCTTTGTCCAACACCTGCAGGTGATGGCAGTAAACAACCTTCTGTTACCGCTGTCTTGCCCTTGTCCCCGGCCTTAGGCTTCCCCTGTGCCCTGAGCCCAGATATGATCAAAGTAGAATCATTTCTGGATTCGGGAGCTGCCAGGCTGGCCTTACTTCAAGTAAGAAGACAAAGGTCCAGCGGTCATGCCTGGGGCTGCCTCTGAGTCCAGGGTACAAGAAGAAGAGGTCCAGACCATCAAAGCCATGTGTCCTCAGGAGGGCTATCACTGAATTGACAAACTTCTGCCGGTTGGCGAACATGGACAGCATCGTGATGAACCTGCAGGGAGACCAGAGGTGGGTGAGGCCAGGAGTGTTTACTGCACAACCTCAGCCTCCCTTACGAGACCCCTTGGTTCACACCCCGTGGAGGGCACAGTGGATGTGACTGAGGAAAGGAAGGCAGGTCTTTGAAACTCTCAGAGCCTCTTAAAGCCCCTCCCAGCATGGGGCTCCAATACCCAGGAATGGGGACTTCAGGCTCCAGGGAGGATTTGCAAACCACAACTTCCCCTGCCAGATGGAAACAAGCACACAGCCTGGGGTGGAGAGAGCAGGCTCAGGCCAGCTTGGCCTCTGAAAACATGGTCCGCCCCTAGCCAGGCACTGTCCCTCTGCTGTTTCCTTGTGGGTAACAGCTCAGTCCTGACACCCTGTCCTGGCACTGACTTTCTCTGCTTGAACAGATTAGTGGAGGGAACATGAGCCAAGGGTCAGCATTTCCAGAAAGATCTCTGAGCTAACGTGGCACAAGAGGGCCATGCTCAGACTAGGAGTTCTGCACCCTTTGCTCTTTTGTTCTTTGGCTGTTTGATTGTTTTCTTTCTTTTTTTTTTTTTTCCTAGTGCTTTCTCTTCCACAGTGAAGACACTATTGGAAAACTTGTAACTTATCGGAGTTAAACTTTAAGCAATTAGGGACTAGTCCTGAGTGCAATGTTTAGAAAATTAACCAGATTCAGACTTAGGCAGGCCTAGTTCCATTATCTGGTTTCCACCCATAGCTGGGCGATCTCTCATGGTCACCTGTGTGAAATATGGTAAGTTTCTTAAGCTTGCGCTCTTGCTTTTCTCTGCAACTTTAGAATGTAAACAGCCACTTTGTAAGCCTCTCCCAAGTAACCATGAGTTAACGCATGAAAAGCCTCTGGGCAGCGTTTGTACACAGCAAATGTTCAATAAGTTGTGGCCCAGGGAGAGGTGAAGCCTGGGGTCAGGCAGAGCCGGTTCTCACCCAGTTCCCTGCATCCTCCCTGCATTGCTCCTGGGTTCTGTGCCAGGTGCTTCCTCACATTCCCCCACTCTCAGGCCTCCAGGTGTCCCTCTCCTACAGCTCCTTCCTCTAAGGCAGGAAGGGAGGCAACGCTCTACCCTTGGCCTCAGCCATGAAATAGGGGAAAAGTTTCTTCAGAGAACATGAAGGCAGTTTGTCACCTCCACACTGCCTAGTGGAGGGTAACGAAGAGTAGCCACCATGCACTGGACACAGACCATGTGCCCAGGTGCTCAGCTGAACACCTGGTTTATATCACTTTCTTTCCTCCCATCTTTTCAGGTTGATACCACTGGCTCCATTTATAAAGCGAGGAAACCCAGGTCCTGGGAGGCTTGGGGTTTATCCATGTCCTAAACAAGGCTCCTCCCCTCTCTGAGGCAAAAGCCCTGCCTCTTCTGAAGCATTGAGGGGACAACTGGGAGCACCCCACTTTTCCCCTCATTTCCCCCCAGCCCCTTTCTCACCACCTCCTGGACCTGCCTTGTCTCCCCTCACTCACCATGGAGGAGAGGTCGGGGGACCCTGGACTCCAGGGCCAGGTCAGGACTCGGGGGAGTACTAGCGTGTCTCCCCACAGCCCAGCTGGCTCCGCACTCTGTCCTCACCTCCGGCCTGCCTGCTCCTGCCCCATACACCGCCCCCACCCCAGAGAGAAGACCTGACAGCACAGTCTCACCTTGATGTCCCGAAGTTCCACCCCCCGATGGACAGCAGTGTTTTCAGCTCCCTGTTCCTGTGATGCAGGACAGAGTCTGTGAGCTGGGTTCTCATTCATTCATTTGGGGACTGGGAAGTTGGTGGGGATGGGAGGACAGGAACGGAAAGGGGGAGACGGGTGGGGGAACCTAAGGAAGAAAAGCGCAGAGCCCAGCAGAACCCGAGAAGGGAAGAAGGAAACGAGGGACACAAAAGTCCACACAGCCCACACAAAAGTCATCACACCCAGGAACGCCAAGGCGGCCCAAAGGCCCCCAAACGCCCCGCTCCCCTGACATTCCCATAAAAAGGAAAAGAAAAAACATCCTAAAATTTCTCTTCACTCATTTTCTTAGTCAACAAATGTTTACTGAGCAATTATTATTTGCCACTGACTGCTTTAGGTGCTTGAGATACAGCAGTGAACAGAGGACAAGCTCCCTGCTCTCCTCTCCAGAGCTTGTAATCTAGTGACATGGATTTTCCCCACCCTTCTATAACCATGCATGCAGTGACAGACCACCCCCTGGACAGGAGAGCCCAGGAGTCCTGGGGAGGGAGTACTGAGCACCAGCTCTCTGCCGGGCACTGACCCAGCCACTGGTGAACAAAGATATCACAGACATTGGCCCTTCCCTTGGGGAGCTCATTTGCAGGTGATAGATGGTAATAGAAACACTAGCATTTGTGATGCACAGCCCTCTCTGAAACACTTGAACAACATTAACACATAGAATCCTCAACATGGCACTTGAAGAGTGAGTTGGGGGAGGCCAGGCAGAGAAGAGAGAGGAAGGCATTCCAAGCAGGGGCCACAGCAGCCACAAAGGCAAGGAGGCAAGGATGAGCTCAGAGTGCTGGTCAGTGGGGAGCTCCCAAGGCAGGGAAGCTCTGGAGCACCCTGGACAGGAGGCTAGGACCCAAGAATCAGAGGAAAGTTGATGACTCACAGGAGAAAAGTTTAACTCGCTTCCATTTGTAAAATACAACCCCACATCCAAAGTGAACACACCTCTCCTTGAGCTTGTTGGACTCTGGGTAAAGGATTTTCTCATCCTGGGGATCCTTAGGAACAATCTGATTGTTGTTCATTGAGGCAAAGGCAAATACCAGGTGGGTGCAGAGAAAGGGGTCCAGGTCCCGGGGCAGGATCGAAGCAGGGCTGGGCCGACTAAATGCCCAGTTGGTGAAATAACACACCAGTTTGTGGGCAGCACCTGGCAGGGGAGAGCAGGCATTTGTTGGCAGAAACCAAGGTGGGGATGGAGGGCAGCTTCCACAGAGCAGCACGGACACAGCTCAAGAGGCAAGGCCACTGTAACACCCCCCCACTCACACCCCAAAGCTACACTGAAGGCAGGTCCCTCCCCCACTGCTGGGGTCCGCGGGGTCAGGGGGAAGAATGCCTTGTGAAACCCTGGTCAGAATGGATCCTCAAGTCTGGATCCTGGCACAAAGAGTGAGCCAAACAGCAGGTGACTGAAAATCCTCTTCTGAACTGCATTGGGTCAGCGATTCCTGACACGGAGCCAGGGCAGGGTGGGGCTGCAGGGGCACTGAACCTGGAGCACTTCTCAGGTGGACACTCTCCCTGGCTCTGGAGAGGACCACACAGGGTCCTTACCATTGTGGTGTTTCAGCACAAGAACCAGCCCTGCAGGACACAAAGGAGGAATCACACGCAGATTCACAGGCACACCCGGAGTGACATACCCCAACACACCCTCCAGTTCTGAGTACATCCACAAACGAACACAAATGGAGACAGACACGCCCTTCCCTCTTTCCTCTTCTCTACACTGAGCAGATGAAGCCAAATCTACCTAAAAAAATAAACACCACTTCAGTGAACTCCACATGTACACACACACGCTTTGCACAGGGACAACAATGACATTTAGAAGTCCCAGAAAAAGCTCAAGGTCAGTGGTTCTCAACCCTGGATGTTAATTTAAAAGTAGTGTTATCCTATTAATCAACATAGTTTTGGAAGTTTTAACCACAGCAATCAGAGAAGAAAAAGAAATAAAAGGAATCCAAATTAGAAAAGAAGAAGTAAAGCTGTCACTGTTTGCAGATGACATGATACTATACATAGAGAATCCTAAAGATGCTACCAGAAAACTACTAGAGCTAATCAATGAATTTGGTAAAGTAGCAGGATACAAAATCAATGCACAGAAATCTCTGGCATTCCTATACACTAATGATGAAAAATCTGAAAGTGAAATTAAGAAAACACTCCCATTTACCACTGCAACAAAAAGAATAAAATATCTAGGAATAAACCTACCTAAGGAGACAAAAGACCTATATGCAGAAAATTATAAGACACTGATGAAAGAAATTAAAGATGACACAAACATATGGAGAGATATACCATGTTCTTGGATTGGAAGAATCAACATTGTGAAAATGACTATACTACCTAAAGCAATCTACAGATTCAATGTAATCCCTATTAAACTACCTATAGCATTTTTCACAGAAATAGAACAAAAAATTCCACAATTTGTATGGAAACACAAAAGACCCCGAATAGCCAAAGCAATCTTGAGAAAGAAAAACCAAGCTGGAGGAATCAAGCTCCAAGACATCAGACTATACTACAAAGCTACAGTAATCAGACAGCAGCATGGTACTGGCACAAAAACAGAAATATAGATAAATGGAGCAGGATAGAAAGCCCAGAGAGAAACCCACGCATGTATGGTCACCTTATCTTTGATAAAAGAGGCAAGAATGTACAGTGGAGAAAAGACAGCCTCTTCAATAAGTGGTTCTGGGAAAACTGGACAGCTACATGTAAAAGAATGAAACAACACTCCCTAACACCATACACAAAAATAAACTCAAAATGGATTAAACACCTAAATGTAAGGCCAGACACTATAAAACTCTTAGTGGAAAACATAGCAGAACACTCTATGACATAAATCACAGCAAGATCCTTTTTGACCCATCTCCTAGAGAAATGGAAATAAAGACAAAAATAAACAAATAGGACCTAATGAAATTTAAAATCTTTTGCACAGCAAAGGAAACCATAAACGAGATGAAAAGACCACCCTCAGAATGGAAGGAAATATTTGCAAATGAAGCAACTGACAAGATTAATCTCCAAAATTTACAAGGAGCTCATGCAGCTCAATAATACAAAAGAAAAAAGAAAAAAAAAAAACTCAATCCAAAGATTGGCAGAAGATCTAAATAGACATTTCTCCAAAGAAGATATATAGATTGCCAACAAACACATGAAAGAATGCTCAACATCATTAATCATTAGAGAAATGCCCATCAAAACTACAATGTGATATCATCTCACACTGGTCAGAATGGCCATCATCAAAAAATATACAAACAATAAATGCTTGAGAGGGTGTGGAGAAAAGGGAAGCCTCTTGCACTGTTGGTGGGAATGTAAATTGATACAGTCACTATGGAGAACAGTATGGAGGTTCCTTAAAAAACTAAAAATAGGGCTTCCCTGGTGGCACAGTGGTTGAGAGTCTGTCTGCAGATGCAGGAGCCACGGGTTCATGCCCTAGTCCGGGAAGATCCCACATGCCACGGAGCAGCTGGGCCTGTGAGCCATGGCCGCTGAGCCTGCGCATCCGGAGCCTGTGCTCTGCAGTGGGAGAGGCCACAACAGTGAGAAGCCCGTGTACCGCAAAAAAAGAAAATGAAAAATAGAACTACGATAGAACCCAGCAATCCCACTACTGACCATATACCCTGAGAAAACCATCATTCAAAAAGAGTCATGTACCACAATGTTCATTGCAGCACTATTTACAATAGCCAGGACATGGAAGCAACCTAAGTGTCCATGGACAGATGAATGGATAAAGAAGATGTGACACATATATACAATGGAATATTACTCTGCCATAAAAAGAAACGAAATTGAGTTATTTGTCATGAGGTAGATGGACCTAGAGTCTGTCATATAGAGTGAAGTAAGTCAGAAAAAGAAAAACAGATACCATATGCTAACACATATATATGGAATAAAAAGAAATGCTCATGAAGAACCTAGGGGCAAGATGGAAATAAAGACACAGACCTACTAGAGAATGGACTTGAGGATACAGGGAGGGGGAAGAGTAAGTTGGGACAAAGTGAGAGAGTAGCATGGACATATATACACTACCAAACGTAAAATAGATAGCTAAAGGGAAGCAACCGCATAGCACAGGGAGATCAGCTCCATGGTTTTGAACACCTAGAGGGGTGGGATAGGGAGGGTGGGAGGGAGGGAGACGCAAGAGGGAAGAGATATGGGGACATATGTATATGTATAGCTGATCCACTTTGTTGTAAAGCAGGAACTAACACACCATTTTAAAGCAATTATACTCCAATAGAGATGTTTCAAAAAATAAATAAATAAATAAAATAAAAGTTGTGTTATCTTGGGTCCTCCCCTAGAAATTCTGATTGAATAGGTCTGAGGTGGATGCCAAGCATAAAAATGTTTAATGTGCAGCCAGAGCACCACCACTGCTCTGATCTCTCCTCCCTGGGCCCCTCTGGCCCTTCACTGTGTCCTGTCCTACCTCTACCTAATCCAGGCCCCTGAGTCCCAGGATGCTTCTCAGGCACCAGAGAGACAACAAGCTTATGAAGCCTGGCACCCCTGGACTGAGAGACGTTGCAGGGCTGGAACCCACCACAGTCACCAACTCATAGCAACAGCTTCCCCATCTCCATGTTCTGAGAGCTGTAGGCTTAGACATGGAACCCCTTTATATGTGCTTCCCCAGGTATGACTCTGGGACAACACTGGGATAGCCCAGCTAAATACACACAAAACCAGGGACAATGATTAATGGGCAGCTGCCCCAGAGTCACAGTGACCCCAGAATCTCCTGTCCTCCCACCCAGCAGAGCTATAGCTCTCAGATCCAACAAAGCAACAACTCCCTCTGACACTGGCACAGAGTGGGTGTCCACCATGGGCCCTGGTGAGGGCAGGGCAGTGCTCAGCCCCTCTTTCTGGAATTCAGCCCCATGTGGACTGAGTATGAGGAAGAAACACTGAAGGGCAGCAGTAATTCTATTGTTTTAAGATTAGTGGTTTAGGAAAGCTGTGTAATGTAAAGTTAAAAAGCACCAGACATGGACCCAGGCAGGCCAAAGTCTGAATCCTAGTGTAAAAAATTAGAAGTTTTAGGGCTTCCCTAGTGGCACAGTGGTTGAGAATCTGCCTGCCAATGCAGGGGACTCGGGTTCGAGCCCTGGTCCGGGAAGATCCCACATGCCGCGGAGCAACTAAGCCCGTGTGCCACAACTACTGAGCCTGCGCTCTAGAGCCCACAAGCCACAACTACTGAGCCCGCGTGCCACACCTACTGAAGCCCACGCACCTAGAGCCCGTGCTCCACAAGAGAAGCCACTGCAATGAGAGGCCTGCACACTGCAACAAAGGGCAGCCCCCGCTTGCCGCAGCTAGAGAAAGCCCGTGCGCAGCAACGAAGACCCAATGCAGCCAAAAATAAAAATTAAGTAAATAAATAAATTTATAAAAAAAGAAAAAATATAAGTTTTATCATCTTGGACAGTTACTTAGCTCTTTGAGCTTCAGCTTCCACACCTGTAAAACGGAGATAACACTTGAACTTACCTCTTTATACATATTAAAGAGATAATGTGTCACTTCGTCCCAACATTGACATATACACACTACCAAATGTAAAATAGATAGCTAGTGGGAAGCAGCAGCATCACAAGGGTAGATCAGCTCGGTGTTTTGTGACCACCTAGAGGGGTGGGATAGGGAGGGTGGGAGGGAGATGCAAGAGGGAGGGGTTATGGGGATATATGCATACATATAGCTGATTCACTTTGTTATACAGCAGAAACTAACACAACATTGTAAAGCAATTATACTCCAATAAAGATGTTAAAAAAAAGAGATAATTTGTGAAAAACTGTTAGTTCAGTGCTTTGCATATAGTAAGGGCTCAGTCAATGGTAGCAGGTATTAGTGATACCATAAGAGTTTCCCTGAGAGCAGGGTTCTCAAACTCAAATGCTGACAGGCAGGTAATGTAAATCAGTGTAGTGGACACAATAGAATACTTCACTTT